ATTATGGACTTTATAATTTTTCTTATTATTTCTGAACAAAAAGGAGTCTTGTTTCATTTATCTTTTTTCTGTCAGATCCTCGTTTATTGTTGCCATCACTCTGTGTAATGTTTATCGATGCTTTTGTTTTAACAACCCCTGCCTCCTTCCTTGCAGGGTTACGTATGCCACCCATATCCCTCTGACCCTTACATGTAATCGTCTTGTTGTTCTTCCTAGGCCTACTTGTTTATTTTGGCACGATTAGAGGGTTACCTGCCAATTTTAGCATAAAGCAAGACTTGTCGAAATATTATTAAATCATTATCCTTTGTCAGTCAATAACGTTATTTAGGTAGATTTGCTTGCTATAAGACGGATTAAATTAGCATTGAACTGTTCTTTGTTACACACTTGTACACAGGAACATTACGATTCATATTTGCGAAGTTAACATTATCCCTTTAATATTCTGAAAGTAACGCAAACTTGTGAACGGGTATTTATACAAATTATAAGGAAATCATGTATATTGCATAGATATTGTAATAAGTATATCTTAAGATTAGGTCATAATATGAACGAGTATTATTTTACAAATTTTTCTTTTTCATTTTATTTTTTTTACATTATTTTTAGACGACCATACCGATAGGTATGATTAAGATCGGCAAAGAAAAAGTTTTTTAATTTCACTCAAAATGAGTTATTTGGGTGATAAATGACCTAAATACAAAATATTTTCATGGTGTCTGTCCGTCTGTAACACGATAACTCAAAAACCGCTAAACCGATTTTAACCAAATTTGGCACAAAAATACTGTGGCACTCGAGAATCTGGCCATTAGTTTTTGGTGGGGGTGGGGGGTTGGTAAGGGGGTATGGGAGGGGGTTAAATTTTTTAAAAAATCGTAACTCCAAAATTACAGTAGCTAGCAATACGCGGTTTTCAATTTAAGATTAGGAATAATATTTGCAACAAAATTTGTAATAACATCAAAATCCGAGCCGACCATACCAATAGGTATAATATGGTAGGCTATTAAGATCGGTAAAAATAAAGTTTTTTTTTAATTTCACTCAAAATGAGTTATTTGGGTCATAAATGACCTAAATACAAAATATTTTCATGGTGTCTGTCTGTCTGTCCGTCTGTAACACGATAACTCAAAAACCGCTAAAACGATTTTAACCAAATTTGGCACAAAAATACTGTGGCACCCGAGAATCTGGCCATTAGTTTTTGGTGGGGGTGGGGGGCTGTTAAGGGGTATTGGAGGGGGGGGGGTTAAAAATTTTAAAAAATCGTAACTCCAAAATTACAGTAGCTAGCGAAACGCGGTTTTCAATTTAAGATTAGGAATAATATTTGCAACAAAATTTGTAATAACATCAAAATCAGTCAAAGTCGCAGTTTTTCAGATAAAAAAAATTGAAAAAATTCCTTTACTTTGCAACTAAAAGAACTGCCTACCAACTTTTTATTAACATATTTTAGTATGGGCGGCTATACTTGCCTCCCGGCGCTAATTTTATATGTTGGTATTCTTGATTAAATATTTTTATATTATATATCAAAAACGTCTTTACTTACATTTTCATAATTTAATTTAACCTGCAGGCCTACCTATGTAGAAAAACTTTAAATGTATGAGTTGTAGAGTTTTACCCTGAACGTACAAAAAATGAAATTGAAGTATACAAAACACGATCAGAGATTAAGAAAAATTTGTAACTTCACATTTTTTAATGAAACACCCTGTATATTTTAATTTTTTTTTGAAACATTTTTTCTTCTTAGTTAACATCTCTATACAATATGATCGAAAAAAAAACGGCGTCAGCGAAGGTTATGAATTGAAGATCGGTATCAGTTCCAAGTCAACTGGACGCGTTTTTTTTTCGAATATACGGTATTGTATTATAGTCTCTATATTGGCGTGTTTTCCAAGGTACACTATGCATTTTAAAAACGGTTAATAATTCAAAAATGGTTTACGCAAATATAGACAAACTATACCTACAGGGTGGTCCGAACTGTATTCCGAAAACTTCGGCAGCATATTTTGCTGATAAAAATAAGTAAAAAAGTTCGTATAAATGTATAAATGTTTTAAAATGCTTAGTTTCGGAGATACAGGGTGTAGAAGTTCATTCTTTTTTTCAAATAATTTCTGAAGTAACGTCAATATTTGGATGAAAATTGGTGTCTGCGAGTTTTTTGACATGAGAAATTTGGTTTTGATGTCAATATGACCCCTATTTGTAGGGGGCGCCACCTACATGTGTTTTAACTGTTTTGAAGAGTAGTAACTTTTCGTCCGTCCTGTATAAAACTACTGAGTGAAAAAGTATGCATTTCCGTGATTTTTTACGTAAAACATATCTCTTTGTAAAATTGGCTACGATCAATCGTTCCCAAGATATTCAGAATGGAAATAGTCAATACATGTCATTATTGACAAAAATAAACATGTTGAGTAGATAGTTAGTTGCCTGAAATGATAAATTTGGGAACTTTTTACTTTTTTAAATTAATAATAAATTTTTCTTCGAAGTTTCTGTTGAACTTTTGGCACAAAAACATTTCGAATTTATGATTTCTCTCTAATAACTATTTAGTCAACGTATTTAATTTATGTTTATGATGACAGGTATTGATAATTTATATTCCAAATATCTGGAGAACCATTACTCGAAGCGATTTTTATCAAGACATCTTAACTAAAAAACGTCGTAAATGTATATTTTTTTTACTCGTTAGTTTATACAGGTAGGGACAAAAAGTTATTACTCTTCAAACCAGTTAAAAAATATGTAGGTGGCGCCCTCTACAAATAGGAGTCATATTGACATCAAAATCAAATTTCTCATGTCAAAAAACTCTCAGACCATTTTCATCTAACTAAAAATGATACTTCTACACGCTGTATCTCAGAAACTGAGCATTTTAGGACTTTAGGACATACATTTATACGAACTTTTTTACTTAATTTTATCTACAGAATACGCCGCCGAAGTTTCCGGAAGACAGTTCGGATCACCCGTATCGTATCATAATAAATCGCTTCGAGTAATGGTTCTCCAGATATTTGGAATATAAATTATCAATACCTGTCATCATTAACATAAATTAAACATGCTGACTAAATAGATATTAGAGAGAAATCATAAATTCGAAATGTTTTTATGCCAAAAGTACAACAGAAATTTCGAAGAAAAATTTATTATTAATTTAAAAAAGTAAAAAGTTCCCAAATTTATCATTTCAGGCAAATAACTATCTACTCAACATGTTTATTTTTGTCAATAATGACATGTATTGACTACTTCCGTTCTAAATATTCTTGAGAACGGTTGCTCTTAGCGATATTTACCGAGAGAGATTTTATACGTAAAAAATTACAGAAAGGTATACTTTTTTACGCAGTAGTTTTATACAGGTACGGACTTGAGTTATTACTCTTCAAAACAGTTAAAACACATGTAGGTGGCGCCCCCTACAAATAGGAGTCATATTGACATCAAAATCAAATTTCTCATATCCAAAAACTCCTAGATACCAATTTTCATCCAAATATTGACTTTCTTCAGAAATTATTTGGAAATAATCAAAATAAAAATAAAACTTCTACACCCTGTATCTCCGAAACTAAGCAATTTAGGACATACATTTATACGAACTTTTTTTACTTATTTTTATCTGCAGAATATGCTGTCGAAGTTTCCGGAATGCCGTTCGGACCACCCTGTATATTCTCAAAGAAACTTTTTCAGAATACTTTGGTAATGACAAAAATCCCTTACGATATTTGCGGACTAACATTAATTATAACAAATAAGTATCTATTATACTGATTATTATGTATAGTTAATATCAAATAAACTTCTAGTCACGTGATTAAGGTTGACCGGCACAGCTTTGCCCACTTTTCTATATTTTCTTTTAATCAAAATACACTCAGATGCAAAAAAAACGCAACGGAGTATAGTCAATAATTTGATTATGTCACTAGTGATTATTATACCGGGTGCGTCCCAAAACTTTTTTATTTTTAGATAAAAAAAACGAGATTTGGTATATTAGTATTAGTTAGTATAGTTAGTTGGTATATAACATAAATTAGTTTTCAATTATTGTTTTCGGTCACTTGTTTCACCGGAAATGACTACAACTTTTGATTTTTAAATGACACCCTCCGTATTTTTTTACTTTATTGGATAGAAAATATCTTTCTGAATCGAATGACATATCATATGTCAACTTTTGACATATTCACTCAAAAACAAATTGTATTTTAAATTTCAATCTAGAGTGCCGTGGCTGTGTTAAAAACACTAATTTTTAATCAAGGAGCTTTGTGAAAATAGATTTGATCGTCTAATGTTTTTAGTGTCTCGTCCTGGCCGGTTAAAATATGCCCATATCGTATTTTTAATCATATCTGAAGTTTTTCAAATGGAACGAGGGTGGCTCATTAGCATATTTGGAAAAATATTTTTTTTTTGCGAATAATTTGATACCACACACTTGGTATTTCAAGTCAAATTGTCGTTATGACCTACATGTTATAATTTCAAATAAAATAAACCATGCGAAAATGTCAAAAGTTAACTTATGATATGTCATTCTATTCAGAGTGTCATTTTCTATCGAATAAAGTTAAAAAAATATCGATGGTGCCATTTAAAAATCTGTGAAACCGGAAGAGACCGAAAACAATTGAATATGTCAATCAATCCTAATTTATGTCATATACTAACATACCAAATCTCGTTTTTTTTATCTGAAAAAATAAAAAAGTTATAGGGGGTGAGCCACTTTCGAGACGCGGTATAGATATGATGCTTCTCTATGATAACAGCACATCAGTTTATCACTACCTACGCTTCAGCATTATCAGCACACTTTTCCCCTTTAACACCTCCATTCCCTCCTCCTCACCTGGCGTCGCGACCGCCCCTTGCGTCTCCCCTGGCCTGGCGCGTCGTCCCAACCTCACTATAAAAGGTATCCCGGTTCGGTGTGGGACCACACTCTCCATCCCCCCAGGTCCAGCAGCATTTCGTCGAAGAAGACATATCCTCCTGGTCATTCCTCACATTCCTCCAGCATGTGGTACACGGTAATGTTGTTGGTCATTTTGGCAACCGCTGCTCTAGCCCAAGCAGGAACTAAAGAAGTGAGTAGTATTTTTGTATTATGTACTTTTTTATAAATTTTCCTGATTCGCACTAACAATAGAAAAAATGTCATATAGATATTTTTTGGTAATAAAAAAAATGTCATATATGTATTTTTGGAATTTTTGATATACAGGGTGTTTCAAAAAATATGTGCCATCTCTCGTGGGGATTTATTTTTCATATCAACATATGTCCGATTCTGCTTTGTTTCGTAACTACAGGGTGTGCGTCTTAATAATCTTTCGATTTATTATAATTTTCCTTTTAAGTCCTTTTTGTGATCCGAATGAAATTTTGAGGGTAAAAGTTACTATAAGTGCTACATATTTTAATGCTAAAAAAGTGTCGATAAATTCATCAGGATGTGCATATGGGTTATCACTGGAATATTTTTCAAAAAAAAACATGTGTGCTACAGACTTTTTTCATTTAATATAAAAATTGTGTAGGCCGTTTAATGCCCATTATAAGTTATCTCTTGATATATCTCGAGATAAACGCAATTTTATTAATCACAAAATAAAATTAAAATCAAAATTAAATTAATAAATTATATATTTTACCTAATTTATTATTAAATATTATTACTATTAGTTATTATTACTATTAGTCGAACCTACAGCAATTTCAAATAAAAAATAAAGATATTTAAGACAATTAAAAAAAATCTAATTTTAAAAAGTTTTAACATCCTGTAACTTTAAAACTATGCATTTCCATACCCATGTTTATAGGAACTTTTTTTTCATATTTTTTGATGAGAAATGATGAGATGAGAAAAAGTTAAAGATTAATTTTTAAAAGCTTTCTATTCGAGTTTCTATTAGACCTGGATTAAGGCAAATTAATAAAATTGCGTTTATCTCATCAAGGAAGTCGAAATCGACAAAATATCAAGAGACAACTTTTAATCGGCATTAAACTGTTTATACTATTTCATTGACAAGAGAAAAAAAAGGTCAGTGGCGTACATGCTTTTTTTAGAAAAACATTCCAGTGATAACCCATATGCACGTCCCTGGTGAATATGTCAACATTTTTTAGCTTTAAAATATGTTGTATTTATACCCTTAACCCTTAACTTAAACTTTTACCCTTAAAATTTTACTCGAAATGCTAAAAGTACCTGGGAGAAAATTATAATAAATCGAAAAAATATTAAGACTTTAACACCCTGTAGCTACAAAACAAAGCAGAATCGGACCTATGTTGATATGAAAAATAAATCTTATTTTTACGTGAGGAATCCCTTCACGAGAGATGGCACATGTTTTTTTTAAACACCCTGTATAAATATGATATATGATGATATGAAGATATTTTTTCTTCTTCAGAGATTTTATATTTTGTGTAACTTCATTTTTAAGTATTGGTCTATTGCGTTATGTATGTAAGTTTTTTTATATTAATATTCTATATATTAGATATTTTTAGCCTTCACACTATAAAAGGTTATATAAAATATTCTTGAAAACATTTATATATAATAACATTTATTATAATTTATAATAAATATTATTATAATAACTTTCTTAAAAAATCCTTGTGTGTCTCATAATAATTTACAATATCTGCGTGAGTAGTACTTTCTTAGTTTTAATAATATATTTTTTAATTATTTTTCTGCATCTCACTAAGTATAGAAAATTGTGTATAATATAATAATATTGATGATGATGACGATAATAATAATACTTTTATTATTATCATCATCATCATCAATATTTATATTTTTTATATTTTATATTTTTAAAAATATAAAATTTTATATTTTTAAAAATTACTATTAATTTACAATATCTATTGAAGTAGTATTTTCTTATTATTAATAATATACTTTTTTTATTCTTTTTTTCTGCATCTCACGAAATATATAAAACTTTATCCCTGGTGCGTCTGAAAAGTGGCTCACCCCTATAACTTTTTTATTTTTTTAGATAAAAAACTAGATTTAGTATGTTAGTATTTGACATAAATTTAGATTGATTGACGTATTCAATTGTTTTTGGTCACTTCGTGTTTCACCGGAAATGACTACAACTTTTGATGTTTAAATGACACCCTTATATATTTCTACTTTATTCCATAGAAAATGACATTCTCAATAGAATGACATATCATATGTCAACTCTTGACATTTTCGCTTAAAAAAATCGTATTTTAAATTTCAATCTAGAGTGCTATATCTATGTTAAAAAATACTAATTTTTAATCAACGAGCCTTTGAAAAATAGATTTGTTCATCTAATGTTTTTCGTGCCTTATCCTGGCCGGTTAAAATATACCCAAATCGTATTTTTAATCATATCTCAAATTTTTCAAATGGAACAAGGGTTGTTCATTAGCATATTTGGAGAAAGCATTTTTTACGAATAATTTGGTACCGCACACTTGGTATTTCGAGTCAAATTGTCGTTATGAATCGCATGTTACAATTTCAAATAAACCATACCTATGAGAAAATGTCAAAAGTTGACATATGATATGGCATTCTATTTAGAGTGTCATTTTCTATCGTATGAAGCAGAAATATACTGAGGGTGCCATTTAAAAATCAAAAGTTGTAGTCATTTCCGGTGAAACAGGAATTGACCAAAAACAATTGAATACGTCAATCAATCCTAATTTATGTCATGTACTAACATACCAAATCTCGTTTTTTTATCTAAAAAAAATAAAAAAGTTATAGGGGCGAGCCATTTTTGAGACGCACCCGGTATAATAATATTGAATATGATTTATATTACAGCATTTTTATATATTGTTCTAATAATAATGGTATCATTTTATTTTGTCCTACATTTAAGACATTATATCTTTTTTATTTCAAATCTTGCTATTATTGCAGATGTCCTTTCTTTTTAATAAATTTTTCGAATGTTGATAAAAGCATTTTGTTAAACATCTTTATAAAATATACCAATATGTATATTCGTTTAATGTGTGGCTGTATATAATAATATTTTATACATAACTTTAATTATAGCATTAATAATATTCTTCCGTTTATTTATGACATTATATACTACATGATCAAAAATAAACGGCGTTAAGTTTTTTAGAAATGACGATCAAATACATTCACCTCAATCAATTTATTCAGTTCATCTGATCATTTAATTTTACATAAAAAATATCATCGATCGTCGATAATGTCTGATGTATGAGTTGAAGATAATCAATATGGTCAATGATTACAAATGATCAGCATGATTACGAAAAACGGATATAAATAAATAGCAATTATTGTTACTTTGAGAAATCTCAGAAGTATATATTATATGTATTTGATACTGTATGATCGAAAGAAACGACGTCAAAGACGGCTAAGGAATGACAATCCATGATAATTTTGGCGAGATCATTCTCTAGACGTCATTTAAGATGAACACAGAAATAATATTTTTTTAATATAGATTTTCAGTTTTTGGCTTTAAATATTGATTGAATTTATTTTATAGAAATATCTAATAATTTGTAAAAAAATGGTATCTCAGTAGAATATCTCTTGATAGAAACGTTACATTTAAAAGTATTAATTAATTAAAAGATAAAAGCATTTTACGAATAATTGAAATATAAACCACTGAAATATTTTGTAGAATGAAATTCCATGTCACATTACAATGCTGCATAATTACCTCGACAATTACTAACAAGTTTTTGGGAATTTTAATTTGAAATTCTGCATATCTCTGCAGAATATGAAATACTTTACAAGAAAACAGTTTGCAATAAAGGGTATAGCCGGATTAATATGGAAAATCTGCTCCAGCGGCTTTTTTAACTCTCACTCAGCGGATCGATTTGGTGTCGAATCAAAATAATTCACCTAAATTTTTAGCTCTTTAACTCAAACGGTTTTCGAGATTTTCAAAAAACCTGTTTTTTCAATTTTATTTTTATAGTAAAATTCAAAATTAAGTAATGATGATTTTTTTCCTAATTCTTAGAAGTCTAAGACCGATTTTTAGCGGAGGAAAGAAAATTAAAATTTTCATTTTTTTAACCTTCGGGAAATATGCCACTCCCTATATCGTCAGAAAATGTCTTTTATACTTCTTTACACTCGGGAATTTTTTGAAGTGGTGGAACAATATAAAAAAAAATAAAAATTATTTTTTTTCTAAAATCTTTTTTTTTATGTTTATTTCTGGCAAGGATGTATTTTTAATGAAAAAATATTTTCTACTCACTTTTTTAAACTAAACAAAATTATAAGTTAGTTAAAACCAGGGTTGGAAAAAATCATGATTTTAAAAAAAAATAAAAAAAATCAGATTTTTTTGATTTTAATAGAAAACTATTTAAATCAGATTTCCAAATAATTAGGACTTAATTCCAATTAAAGTCCTATCCTAAATGGCTAAATCTTCATAACTCTGCGCAATACTGACAACATTAACAATTCTACGTCGCGTGCCATTTTCCCTCATCGGTCACCAATATATTCCGCAAAAAAAGTCGCTCGCATCAGATGAAAAGGATTTTTTTTGAAATGCCACAAGAGTATTAATTTTTGTCATTTCAACGTCTAGGCATAAAAGTAAAGCACTTTTACGCCTAAGCACAAAAGTACAAAAATATATTATTAAACTGATATTAAGCGTCAATTTCAACGAGTGTACAAATTGTTACTCGATTATTTACAAGGCATTACTTTTTATACTATTTGCAACGTTTGTGAAATTGATCAAAAAATTATTTGTAATGTTTAATTAGTAAAAATATAGTATATTCTACTCAGAGTAAAAATGTACTTTTGTGCCTCCCTGGTCCGTCAAACGTACAACCTCGTCAAAAAAGTATAATTTTTAATTTTTACACCTTACACAATACACTATTGTTCGGAAATAGTCTTAAGACGAGAATCAAATTAGTATTATCTATTGTCAAAGTGTAAAATAAAGAAATAATATAAAACAGCATATTTTTTGACACCGATTTGAAGATATAGTCTAACATCAAAAGAACCCTTTTCTGCATTAGAGGTTGC